GCAAAGTAAGCAAGCAAGCAAGCAAGCTTTGGCCCTTTTTTCATTTTAACACAGAACTGAGTTTCTTAACATTGCAACCATACTAAATTGGACTGCAGAAAGTGTGACCCAGAGCACCTAGTTAAGATTCAAAGGACATAGGAATGTAATGCAGACATTTCATCCTTCCTCGTCTTCTGTTGAACAACAGCATTCCTCACCATGCAGCAGCTTGGGAGAGTTTCAAAATTTGTTGTGGGACATATGGATCTGTTGTTTGGTGAACAAGCTAAAAGCCTAATTATGCTTTTGCCGGAAAGGTGGCATTCTGACATTTTAATAAATAATAGTGTGTGAAACTGATTCTAGCCCCACTTAACCTGGGAATTAGCTCCATTAAATTCAATGGGACTGTCACGGTCCAGTCTACGGGTGATCGAAGTCCTGGCTGAGGATGTCGGGACCGGGGGCAACATGGTGGGGTGGAAGCAGGAATGAGAGTCCAGAAGCCAGGGATCCAAGGGTCAAGAAGCAGGGAGTCACGAAGTCAAGGGTTGAGAAGCAAGGAGTCAAGAAGCCGAGGTCCGAGGATCAGGAAGCAAGAAGCCAAATGCAGCAAGGCAGGAAACAAGTTGCTGTGGCAGAGAGCCAAAGGGAAATGCTGACCTTATGTTCCTTCCCGGCTCTTGCCACCAGGTGCAGTGAGTTACCAAGCGGCCTCACCTGTGCGGCCGCGCCTTGCCTCTCCAGAACAAACTTAGGAAGGCCCCCAGTCCTGTGAAGCCCTACTGGTCACAGGGCCTGGCTCCTGCACGCACTCCTGACGGGGACTTTCTTCTGAGTAGATTGATATGCACTTTATCGGCATATGTTCAGATGATGAAGAAGCTCAACTAAAGATACTTTTTGCCGCTGAGCTAACTATATCATCCGTTTTAAGTGGACTGGGTTTTGTGCACACTGCATTATAATGACGAGCTTCATTCGGACTAGATTTGAATTAGAACTCTTAAGAGTTCTACTTCCCTTCTTTGTTTAGTAAGGAAGGCTCCCTTTAGATTCACGCCTCTCCCTCTTGCATTTTAAAGGAATGTAGGAAACTGCCTTCTACGGAGTCAGTCTCTTGCTTCTTCTCTCTCACTGTCATCTACACCACTGACAGCATCTCTCCAGGGTTTTGGACAAGGGTTCCCAGCCCTAGCTGGATGATTTAAAAATGTATTTTCTGAATTGGAAGCTTTCCTTTAAAATTGTACAGCTCAACTCCAACATGGGAAATAAAGGAATTATTTCTCTATTGTTCATTTGTAGATGCAAATCTATGAAGTGAGGCATTTTTTTGTGGGAAGAAACTGTATATACTTCATACCCTTTCAGAGCAGTCTCCCAAGGAATGACGCATTAGGAAAAATAATCCATATTTTTTCCAAGCTGCCTCATGAGGGATGACACTTTAGAACAAACACACAGCCATTTTTTTTTTTTTTAAGTTAGCAACATTAAATTGCCTGCAAGTGGGTGAAGAAGACAATACACAAATGAGCTGAACATAGGTCCTATGTGACATGAGGAGCATCTTTTCATTTATGCCAGGAGTAAAAACTGTATGCCCCCCCCCAAAATAAATAGGTTTACCATGCCAAGCAGCTCTCAATAGTCCCACCTTTACATCTGTGAAAAGCTCCTACCCATTCACTGCCATGGGACAAAAAGATTTTGTTTTCTTTGGCATTAAATTCACTAAGCAGCATTTCAAGGTTGGGCTGTTTACTACAATATCCGGGGCGAGATGAGGAACTTGAGGCCCTCCAGATTTTGATGGATAACCAATCCGGTCATTTCTGTCCATAAGCTGTGTGGGTTGAGACTGATGGAGTTCAGTAACATCTGAAGGGCCAGAGGTTCCTTTACTCCTGATCTAGGGGAACCAAAATAAATGTATAGAAGGGATTTTATGAAGAGACTCTAAGTTTGTAAAAGTTTTCTCTTGTGCAAAATCATGGTGTTGTTTTTTCAAAGCAAGCTCTGAAAGTTCAAAGCAAGCTCAGAAAGTTCAAGCAAACTTCTGGCTTGAAAGCAGGATTTGGTCAGTGACCTGGCTTGGTTTTATGGAATTATTCACTTAGGAATAGGCTCACTCAACTGACTCAGTGAGATTATTCAAGAAATGCAATTAACCCGCCTGCCTCTACTGCTCCCATGTGTAAACATGTATCTCACAGGAAATTGGTGAGGAGCAGATGTTAGGGGTCATCTATTGGCATTACTTGAAATGGTGATCTATAACTGAAATTGCCTGTGTGCTTATGAACCTCTGGGAAAATATATTTCAGCTCACTCTTTAATTATGCTTGCTTGGAAGCATGCTGTATTTCAATCCTAAACTGAAGTAATGTAAATGTAAACGCAAAAGAAATGACTTCATATTGTAATGGACGTAAAGGTGACTCTGAATAACAGTTTCCATAAAGCAGATGAAAAACTTTTATCTCTCAACATTTTCTAACAAAAGAGAGAGAAGAAATTTCATAATAGTTATCCAAAGAAGAAAACATTTCTTACTTTTACTCCCTACCTGTGGCTCAATATTGGTAATTTTTGCTTTAGAGCTAAGGTTCTCAAATGTTCTGAGGCTGCAGCATTACAGAAGCTAATCAAGTATGGATCTGGTTAATAACCTGAGATGGAGTCTATTGAGAGCTGATGTAGATGCAGGATATACATACCTACATGTATCTACTATATATTCTGGAAAGTTGTTTCTCTGTGTTCTTGGCATTTGGATGCTTTTTGAGATATTTCCACCCAGTTTGAGATGAGGGTTCCTGTGGTGATTTGGGGCTGGACTGTGGGTCAGGAGTTCCTTGGGTCAGGCTGGATCCCTGGTCTGGGGGTTGGACTGTGCACAGCCATAAAACTAACAGAGTGCAGTATTTCTTTCTAAATGTCAATTTTTTAAAAAAAATATTTTTGGTTCCTTAGAATTGCTGGCCAACACTGTGTACTGTTTCAGCTAGTCTATTGTGTGTTTGGGAAAGTTTCTTGATTGCCTTTTTGCTACGCATTTGGACACCATTTTGCGTGGTAATGCCTAAGATCAAGGAGCAGTTTTTAATCATGTACCATTTTGAACCAAGGTGGTAGACTGAACCTTTTAAAACTGCACTGATTTTAACTACCGATTTAAAAATTGCACAGTTTTCTTTGTTTCTTTCTTATAATTTCAGAGCAACACCAGGTATAAGGCTGCTAATTTTAGACATATTAAAAAAACAACAACTGCTGCCATGGGGAGCTTCCCTAAGTTAAGAAAGATGTACATAGAGTACCTTACCAAGAGAGTTTGAACATCTACTAAGTAGCTTGGATGTGGCTATGACTTTGTGGGGGAAAGTCTTCCAGTCTTTGCTTCACTCTGCTTCTTTGCCTCCTCACCATCCGTATACTGTGGCTGCTGCTAGTGATCCTTGTCTGTCATTATCATCTCTTGTGACTGACAGAGTACCAGACAGGCAGCTCACATAGCAGTGCATCACAGGGCAGTACTGTATGGCCTGATCACAACTCTGCTGCTGAGGAATTGGGGCACTCGGTTTCCTGCCACAAGCAACCAGACATGGGTTAAACGCCAAAGCTCATATAGCTCTTCAAATGTGTACTTGAGCAGGGGCAGCCAGCATGTTGTCCTCTTGATGTTGTTGGACTATAGCTGCATTGGCCTATTGGTCTCCACCCCCATCGTTCTGCCTGGACGCTGAGGTCCAGCGCCGAGGGCCTTCTGGTGGTTCCCTCATTGCGAGAAGCAAAGCTACAGGGAACCAGGCAGAGGGCCTTCTCGGTAGTGGCGCCCGCCCTGTGGAACACCCTCCCATCAGATGTCAAAGAGATAAACAACTACCTGACATTCAGAAGACATCTTAAGGCAGCCCTGTTCAGGGAAGTTTTTAATGTGTGACATTTTAGTGCATGTTTGGTCCCTGTGGAAGCTGCCCAGAGTGGCTGGGGAAACCCAGCCAGGTGGGCGGGGTACAAATATTTATTATTATTATTATTATTATTATTATTATTATATTGGACTATAGTTCCAATAGACCATTGGCCGTCTGCGGCTGATGGTTCAACAAGATGATCCGAAGGGCACCATGTTGGTTACCCCTGTACTTGAGCGCAAAGGAGCTATCTGATTGCATTTCTCCCTAGCTGCTTATAGATCCTGGTACTTGTTACTGTATATACCAACCCACATTTCCACTGAATGAGATTCTCAAAATGAGTGATACTAACAAACTTGCATCTCAGTCATCGTATCTTTTGTTCAAACTTGTCTGTTGCTCATGTACCTATTTAGTATAGCTTTTGGTTTAGAAGAAGAGCTTTGGTGTTGGTTTGAATAAAATGATTGCATTATTCAGCCTTTGATCAGGTACTAATTAACTCAAGTACTTTGTGTATAGGGATCAGGAAGATTGATAATCCAATAAAATGAATGGATTAGAGAGTAAATCCTTGAACGCTGTTGTTCTTGGCCTCATGCTTATCTTTTTTTTTGTAATACAAATGCCGTTTCCAGGTGTTGTGCTTGTAAGATGTTTGGTTAAAAATGATATTTTCCTTCTAGGACTTTTTAGCTGCTTAGCTAATTGAATAATTGGACACTTTGCTAAAATGTTTTTCACAATGCCGGATCCAACAGGCTATTCGCATTCTTATGATCTTAAGCAAACACACATTCAAGCCCCTTTCAGACCTTGTGTCTGAACCCAACAAGATGGGAGGTGGAAGGGGCAGAATCAGTGTGCACAGTCGTACACTCAATTCACTCTTAAAACTTTGTCATGCCTGAGAAGGACTTTAGACTGGTGAAACTGTGGTGCTGATTGAAGGAGAGAATAGATATTTCTAATGGAATAGAATCCCCACTTCATGAAGCAACATAATTAATATATAAAGTGTGTTTAAACATTAATTTCAAAAGCTAGGCATAATAATTATGTAGAAATAACCTATAGCCTTACTATATATATGTGTCCTTTTTCCTTTTCAGAGAGAGACCAAAGGCCAGTTTCTCATAGATCATGTTTGCAATCATTACAGTTTGCTGGAGAAAGACTACTTTGGCATTCGCTATGTGGATCCTGAAAAACAGCGGGTATGTATATGAACTCTGAACAGAGTGCATTTGTCAATTTGTGTCAGGTCTGTAAAACTTCTAAGCTGTCAAGCAGAACCAATAATTTCTTCTCATTTTCATTGCCCTAGTATAGATTCCTCAAATTGTGATGTCGTAAGGGTCAGGGGTAAGTGTTAAATCCCCACTTATTGAGTTGATGAGCAATCTGCAATATACTAGGACAAGTGCAAGAGTTCTCCTGTGTGGGATGGTTAGGACCCTGCCAGTCTCTGAGCTGAGATACATACTACAGTTGCCATGGGGATCAGTATCCCTGGGGTGGCTATAATGTGTAGCCTAGCTGTATCTCTTCCCTGTTTTTATAGCATGACCAGGGGAGCCACAACTGTAGAAGCTGAAGATCCACTTCCACATTGTACCGCAGTGTTTTGATGCTAGCCTTTTCATGGTCTGGAACATATATAAACAGTGCTGGATTTACGTATAAGCAAAACAAGCTATAGCTTAGGGCCCCACTCTCTCTCCCCCCCCCCCATTTCACTATTAATATACTTCTTCTTAATTGTATTTCAGTTCAACAATTACTTTGATAAAATACATATTTTGTTATGTGCAAATGGGTTTAGATACCTATTAGGTCCATAAATTACCATATACCATATATTCAACACACACAAAAGTGACAATTTGTTGTTGACAAAGGACAGCTGGACATATAAAGGGCCCCATTACCTTCAGTAGCTTAGGGCCTCATCAGACCTAAATCCAGCCTCCTATATAAATATAGGAGTCTTATTATTGTTGTTTTCACTATAATCCATACCGTTAGAGCCACATTGGTATTTGGGTACCTTTGAAACTAAGATAATGGTTTAAAAATATGCATTCAAAGAATTAGTGAATTAAAGAATTTAAGTTTTGCATATTGCTCCACATTTTAAATCAAATCATTCCCTCCCCACTGCTCTGGGTTAATCTTCTTAGATTATAATAGTGGGGTTATGAATATATAAGTTGTGTTCTGAGAAGCTACATCCTAGAAGCTTGCAAATGTAATGCAAGATTTGTGACTGCAAATAAATCACAGGAACAATAAGGCTGGAAGATGCGGCTGGCAAGTGGCTGTTGCAAGTCTTTAACTTGCAAACAATAGAATCCTTAGAAAAGCTTTCAAAGCCTTTTTCAAAACTATAAATCTTCCAGCAAAGGAAGCCTCCTAGTTTAGAATTATAACAATGAGGGCTGTTTACCAGTGACCTCAGTAAATGACTATTAATATTGTGTATTAATAGGCAAACATTTAGTTTTATACTGTGTGAGTGGGGAAATTCCAACTGAGTGTTACTGTTGTGCATCACAGAAGTTGATGCACCCTTCCTGCTGAGGATTTGAAATAGCAATAGAAAAACTCCATCTTCTCATGCTTAACATCCTATTCAATTTAAATGAAGAAATAAAATCACTTCAATTTTTAGTGATTTTGCAAAAGTAAATTTTTAAATCTTCTGTATGGGGTTTTGACGTCCATTACATCTGTCTACCTCAAACCATAACACATATCAATCACTGCTAGTTGGAAACACTTTTTACCTCCCCGCCTTGGGAAATGAACTTAAGAGGTTTCCACGTGTGGACTTTGTCACTTGGTTTTGCATATATTATGCGCTTAAATTCCCATTGTATGTTGAACACTATATTAACTACTCTTGGGAATTGTATATTTTACTGCTGTAAGCAGCTTTGAGACCAACATGGTGAAAGTGGGATATAAATTTGTAAATAGATGAATAAAGATAGCATTAGGAATGCATTGTTCTGTTTTTTAAAAAAGACAAAAATACATTGAGCTATGGCAATGGCTATGCATATTGGGTTGAAAGCAATATGCTTGTCAAGATGCTTCAGAGGCCCCCATGCCAATAAACATTATAAATAATACACGGAGATGGACTTGCCTGCTTTAGGTGACAAAGACTCATATCCCTTGCCTTCCTTTAAATGATCACTATACAGAAGCAACTGGTGATATTCTTGAGATGAGTGGCAAATTTAAAAACAGGTTTTTAAACACATTGGTAGTGTCTCCTGAGGCTACTAAAGTTTTTTGCTGGTTCAGTAGTTTGATGCCCCCGCCGGCCTGCCCACCGCCTCTGATTTCTGCTGCCTGAGTTTTGCATACAACCGAGTTTGCTTAATTGCGGTCTGTGCAGCTGCTTCTGCTTCCAGAACCATGTGGCTCAAACTCAGATTTATTGCTCATATTAAAGGACTCATCATGTTTATGAGTGCATTAGTTGTTTGCTGAATTCCACAAAAGTCAAGGATCTTCAAATGGAAGAGCTAACAAGCACACTTGGTTGGATAGCATTGCCTCCCAATAATATTTTTATATCATTGGCAACATTTATTCTTTTGAATTGATTTCTGTCAGAGCTTTATTTCTCGCCCAGTTTACCTCTTTTTTCTTACAGTTTGTCCTTTTTTCCTTATGAAATTCATACAAAATAATGTCTTGGTTTGGAGTAAAATTGACAAAAACCCCTACAGAATTATGCACATAGGAGCCCAGGAAAATAATCCTTTGCACTGTTGCACTGCCTGGTAATAACTTGGACAACTTGCTTTCTCACCTGCACAGCTGACTGCAAAACAGCTTACAATGTGAAAAGTATTTGTTTGTGACCTATATTAATGCTCTTCTGGACCAAACCTTTTGGAGGGATAGCTTTTGAATTTATGTAGTCAACTGATGTGTTATCTGCTTTTACACAGCAGTTGTGGCACTGTTAGGGATGAAATGACAGCATGTGCAATTTCCCCAAACCAGTAATTTCAGAAGACTCCTGCAGAGTAGCTAGAAGGAAGAAAGGAGAATAGCCTGCAGAAAACAGAAGTGAGAACACTGGGTTTCTGTCTATGAGCAAACAATCTTGCTTCTTTTACCGGTTTCCCAAGTGAAAAGAACACCTACAAATTGTAGCCACAAAGGAAGTGCTGCCTGGAATTGTAGGCTATCACAATGGGCACCATGTAGAAGATTCTCTGTCTCCCTCACCCCAAATTTCCCTTGTAGTGTGTATTTGCTTGGGCCATCACTTTGCCAGATTGGTTAGTAGTTGAGGATGACTTTAGCAATTCTAAAGAAAGTTTTAAAGTGAACATCTCAAAAAATGTCCTGTGGTTAAGGTAACCATTTACACATAAAGGTAAAGGTAAAGGTACCCCTGCCCGTACGGGCCAGTCTTGACAGACTCTAGGGTTGTGCGCTCATCTCACTCTAGAGGCCAGGAGCCAGCGCTGTCCGCAGACACTTCCGGGTCACGTGGCCAGCGTGACGAAGCTGCTCCGGTGAGCCGGCACCAGAGCAGCACACGGAACACCGTTTACCTTCCCGCTAGAAAGCGGTACCTATTTATCTACTTGCACTTAATTGTGCTTTCAAACTGCTAGGTGGGCAGGAGCTGGGACTGAAAGACGGGAGTTCACACTGCCATGGGGATTCGAACCGCCGACCATGCGATCGGCAAGTCCTAGGCGCTGAGGTTTTACCCACAGCGCCACCCGCGTCCCTATGTCCCTCCCCAAAAATGAGGCAGGGGGAGAGAAAGGAAGAAAGGAAGGACAGAACGAAAGAAGTCACCAAAAGGAGGAAGAAAGAGGGCACAGATGGATATAAAACTTGCATATGCTGATTTATTTGTATAGATGCAAATTCAGAAAGCATTGCTTTAGAAGGCATGTAGTTTAAACATAAATACAAGGCATCTCACTGTAGCAGGAAACACTACAACCAGAAGGTGTGTGTTGTGCCTGTTCAGCCTGCTGTCCAAATGCTAACTGTGGATGGGGAACTTCAAGGCCTAGTCTCCTTTTTATGATTCTTTGTCCTGAAACTGAACTTGGAGCAGCTGGCTCTAAAATAAAGGTGTGTCCTCTGTAAAGTAGGTCACATGGTCTTCCAAACTAAGGCCAAGTTTTTTGTGGACCAGAGCCTTCATCAGATACATATATTGGAAGTGGGTTCTGGTCCATGGCAGCCTATGCTACAATGCATCTATTCATATCTAAGAGGCTATAAGACTCTGTTTAAATTAGGGGTGGGAAACCAGTGGCCTTGCAGGTGCTGTTGGACTGCATGTCCTATCAGCCACAGCCAGCATGACCAATGGTCAGGGATGATGAGAGCTATAGTTGAGCAACTGTATATATATGTATGTGTGTGTGTGTGTGTGTGTGTGTGTTTCTGTTGAAAGGGCACAGTGCAAAGCAAATTGTGAGTGGCATTGCCTGTGAGTAATACTGGCAATATTTCAAGTAAGTCTGGCAGTAATAAACAAGGCTTTTAAATATTTAGTTCCCACCAAGTGGCAAATCTATTATGATGGCTGTTAAGTTGGTGTACTGGGATTTCCTTGCTTCTGTAATGCACCCTCTCATGGCTTAAAGCATGTTTCGCTTCTGAAAAATAGTGCTAGTGTTTCTGCATAATTTCCGCATTCCTGGGTCTAGGGAACATTTTAAAATTCAATTTATTTTGTGTTTTCTAATTTGGAGGTGGGTAGCACTCTTAGATGTTCAGTAACCTCTTTAGGTTCTTAACTATGTTTAGAGCTTTACAAAGAAAGCCAACAAATTTTCTGACTGCATGAAATGACAGGAACAATATAATTTTAAAGAATTTTGAAAGTCATTCCATTTAATCCCAGCAAATCTTAAGACTTCTGCCCTAAAAATCTATCTCATTGTTGCAAACCTTCCTGAAACAACCACCCCCACCCCATTTTATTTAACTGAATATTGAAACAAATCATTCAGCACTGCAACATTCTGGCACTTCGAAATTTATTTAATATAGAACTTGTATCTTTGAAAGTGAAACGTGAATGGAAGGTTAAGCAATGCAGGTCTTTTTTTACTATATTTGTTATCTTCATCTGATTCATGCCACACAGCACCTTTTGCATAATGCCAAAGCACATTTGGTACATACTTACAATGCAGAATTCTCTGGAGGTGTC